CAAAATTTTATTTCTAATATTTAATGTTGAAAAATACAATGAAACACATTAAAATCAACATTAATTTATTTAAAATATTAGACCATATATAAAGCATAATGCATATGAGAGCGAAATAAGAATTCAATTACAATTTCATGTATTGACATTCAATTAGTTTAACTGCAGTGTTTGAAAATGTCAAAATTTAAGATCAAGATAATCTACCAAAATGCAGTGTGATACTTTAATATCCAAAGAAATAAAATTGAACGAGGAATATATTATTAAACAAAAATAGTTAAAAGTTTAAGTAACCTATATCGATGACCTTCTTGTCAATCTTACAAACGTTTATTTTCACGACAAAAAAGTATGGTGAGTTGCTTCACGCAATACACCACCATCTCCAGTTCGTGTTTTTATTTGTTTTTCATGTCGTGGTATTTGAAACTTCATTTAGCCATGAGGCAGAAACTACTTGTGTCAATGAATAATATTAAGAAACTACAGTCAAGGTGGATGTGAATACAATAAGATAAAACTATGAACAATATTGCTCTATATTCTATATTCACATTATCAAGCATCAGCATAACATAAACTCAGTAGAATGTGTATTAGAGTATCTCTATGATGTGAAATGTGTGTTTAATCTCTGCGTTCTTCACAGCCATCTAGTGTGATTTTGAAGCTCATATTTTACGCATATCTTCATTCAACGGGTTGTTTCACCTTTTCATCCCTCAGATAAGCTTGACATTAAATTAGTGCAAAGGAAAACTGAATAAATTTTCGACTTGTATGTAAAATTATTTTATGAAAAAATATGTGATTGAAAATGAGTGTTGAAATAAATGAGTTATGGGCAAAATGGGGCTCAAACAAGGGTAAAAAGTAATGGTGCATTTAGTTTTCTATTTTCTAACTGATCTCAGTTCAAATTTTGCAAAAAACCGAAACTCGTTTGGTTTGACATTTTCGAAAATGCATTTTAAAAAACAAAATTAAACTTATAATATAAAACTCAAAACGTATTTTTGCACATTTTGAATATTTTCAGTGAAAAACCTCAAACGCATAGAAAATAAACGTGTGAATAAAATTTTATTTAAAAAATTTAAAAATTACAAATTATAAAAAACAAAAAATATGAAATTTTCAAAAAAAAATAAAATGAAAAAACATTAAAAAATAAATACTCTATAAAATATTAAAATGAAAAATAAAGTAGAAAAAAAATAAAATTCTTGAAAATAAAATTCTAAAAAAATATAATTTTTTAAAAAATATTTAAATTTTTATAAAAATTATAAAAAATAAAAAAAATTCAACTTTTAGTGGTTATTTTCATAAATATTCTAAAAATTATTTTTAAATGAATAAAGATAAAAATTCTCAATCTACGTCATTGGTTTTTATTTTCTATTTTTTGCCAACAAAATTTGTTATTTTTCTTTTGTTTTACTTTTCTGGTGAAAAAAAATTGTAGGATTTACTAACTTTTAAATGTATATATTTACTTGATAAATATAAAATTGTTCTATTTTACTGTATAATCAATTTTATGAAATAAAAATGTAATGAAATAATTATTCTTAAAATTCAAAGCCAAACGTATTTTTATTTTTTATTTTTTTATTTTAGGAAATAGTTTTTAGAATGATAAATCAAACGCCTTTTTTAATAATCTTAAAATAGACCCATCGAAGTAGAAAATTTATAATGATCTCAAAATTGAAAACTAAACAAGCTTTAAGCATTTGTTGATTTTCTTTTTAATTTTTTTTTTAAATGAAGCTCAAACATTAACTTAATTTTACTTATTGCTTTTTTTAGACACATACCCTCTCACACTCTTTCTCTGGCTTTGAGGGTGTTTGAGCCCAATTTTTTTGAGGAAAAATAAATTTTAGAATAGTGGATTGATAGAGAATGTGTGGATGAAAAATAAGGAAAATATTTTTATTTACGTGTAATATTATTTTAATAAAAAAAGTGTGGTTAAAAAACAGAGTGTGAAATGTATTTTGATAAAAATGATAATCAAACGGGCGTTTTATCTCTATTTCTTCACATACTCCATACTTTCTTTTAGAGTAATTGACACAAAACAATATTATCCTTACAATATTTAGAGCAAAATAATTATACTCATTCATTCATTCATTTTGCGAAAAGTAACCATGCCGTCCAATTTCTGAATCAAAGTCTTGTAAAATGACAAATTTACTATCATTTTTAAATAAATAAAAAATAAATAAAAAATAAAATAAAAATAATTGAGGCTAGAGTTTTAAATTGTCAAAGCAAACATGTTTTAATCCAAAAAATAATAAAAGACAAAAATTTTAAAAAATATATTTATTCTTCAACCAATTAAACTTACCTCTTACGAAACCGCCTTCCACCACCACCACCACCGCCGCCGCCGCCGCCACAATCATACGTTTTCCTTTGGGCCAAAAATTGAAGAGAATCTTTTAAGAGGAAATTATAGTCTACTCAATTTTATTTTATTTTCATAATTTTAAAACTAATTTTATTTCTAAAAGTATTGTACAAATTCCGAATTTACTTTTCTTCTATGCTATAGCAACTAACAATCTTGCTACGGTAATAGGCTCAACGATAGACTCAATGATATGGGAAGACATGTGTCAATACATAATTGGACAGAGTTTTTTTATTTTTTGGTTTAAGATATGACACCCAATCCCGCCTTGCCACCCCACCCTGTCACCCTCTCACTGTCAGCAACTATTGTGGAGCATAATTGACCCCTCCATCCAAATTCATAATTCCAATTGAGTTGCCAACCACCAAAAGGATCGCAATCGCGTGCCCCACCAAAAACCCAATCATCATAACTCACATAAAACAACTCGAGACATGCAAACAAATAATTTATAATAAATTGAAGCCGAAAATAATTATTTTTAGTTCACTCTGATTCCCATTGTTTAAAAAATAAGTTCAAGAAACTATCAATTTCAAAAATTATAGTCAATATCTTCGTCTGAGAACCTATTAAATTAGTTATATTTACGTTTTAGTCATCCTAAACTAACCATATAACAAGGATAAAGGAATTACGCCCAAAGCGTAATTAGTTTCACGTAGAAGCCTCCAAAATTTTATTTCCTCGATCCTCAAACTTCCTCGATTTTCAAACTTCCATCCTCAAGTCTTCTTTGGGCTACAATTTTTATTATTTGTTGAAATCATATTTGACGCCGAACACTTCGTGTACAAAAAATAGGGATTGTTTAATGAAAAGTAGACCATTAACAATTTTTTGAAATACATGTAAACACTTGGGCAGATACTTAAAGTATATACAAATTTATTACTGTGTTTGTAATTTTTAACACGATTTGTGTAATAATCACATGACATCCCGAATTATTTGTGTATGGAAATCATATTATAAGCTGTACACAATTTACAAATTACTAATTTCATCACAATTAAACATCTGTTACCAACAGTGAGAAATGCTTATAAGAGCAGGAGATCGAACTTAATAATCCTATCCATATAATTAACCTGTCCCAATCGGCCAGATTTGTTCAAATCATAATCTTAACGGGTGTCATCCTCCCACTGTAGAAGCTTGGACACCATTATTGTAGGGAAGATTATCACATGCCCACACTTCACCATTATCACATACTGGTGGCTTGTTAAGGTGTACGCGTCTCTATATAAGTTTTCTTTAGCACAAGGAATGCTATTCATCAATAATGAATTGAAAAAAAAAAAAAAAAAACCATCGCTTAAGCTTTGGCACCATAGAATGAATGAAAATTCACAAAATAGTTCAAACTTCAAACTCCGTAAACATCAAGACAAGCTTCAAAGTTTCGACGGAAGCATGACAACTTCCAGTATGAAATTACACACGATAACTAGAAACCATGCCAGAGCATCCAGCAAATTTATTTGGAGTTCATAATATTGTAAATAGACTATGACAGTAATATTTATTAGCCAATCCGTCCCAAATTTTTATCATCAAACAGCAAGATCAAAGCTCACCATCCCATATATCTTCAACGGTTCTGTATGAGCCGAACGTCTCATGGACAAAAAAGTTACCTGTAATCTGTCTTTCCTGCAAGTAGAAAAAGCATTTCTTATGAGATGTAGAAAGAAAATGCCTTAGTTATCAAAATAAAATTTTGAGCAAAAAAATGGATCTAAATGTCAGTTATCTGGGCAATTTTTACATCAGAACCTCAATTGTTGGTGATGCAGCATACACTTTGGCATGTTTAGTAATTGAATTAAAATATATCTTTTCCAGCGTCCACTGCGGTCTTATATTGCCTACTAAGCATGCCTTGCAAGTATGACTTATTAGTTGTAGTACATATATTTAATGGCAAAAACTGTAGGGGACTCGTGATGGGGACGAATAAAAAAATTGCTAATTAATACTGTCTCTAATATCTAACTATTCTCAGCTGTATTTGCAAAATAAATTATTGCATTACTCGTATGCCCATTAGAAGAAATATACCCATAAAATCTCAAGGAATTTAATGAAAATGAAAATAACTTGCCTGCTCAATTTCGGAGAACTTAGCAAACAAGTCATCAGGTATGGACCAATTGAAAACATCAAAGTTCTCTTTGATCCTTGATTCATGTGTGCTCTTGGGAATTACACTATGGCCCATCTGCAAGCCCCATCGAAGAGCAACCTGAGCAGGAGTTTTACCCAATTTTTCTGCTGTAGTAACAACAACAGGATGCTTGAGGACTTCTTTCTTGTACAATGCAGTTCCAGGTGAACCAAGTGGTGAATATCCCTTTCAAGAAAATTAACAGGTTAGCTAAAACGCAGTAAACCAACAGTAAAACCATTTTAAATTTTAAACTTCAATAGTGAACCAAGCAACCATGATTATCAAAATGAAATATAATCACCACCACAACCAAAAAGGAAGTGTGTGCCATCATTCTTAAAGACAAGAACCAAAGGAGTAATGTGAATTATCAAGTAACCGAGTTTTGCCAACTCACAGTGAGGTGAACTCCCTTCAATTTACAGAATTCTCGTAGTTTGGTCTGCTGCCACACCGGATGGCACTCAACTTGGACAACAGCCGGAGGAATGCGAGCTACATCCAATAGATCACCCAGCTTTTTGGTGGAGATATTGCAAATTCCAATAGCTCGGACCTTACCAGAATCATAGAGTGCTTCCATAGCCTTCCACGTGGAAGGTATATCCACTGGAAGAAAGTCTTCTGGATTCATGCCAACAGCCCCCTTCCTCAATCGGGCAGGCCAATGGATCTTCACAATTACAGAGGTACATTAATCAGCCCATGATATAATTTTTCAACAGTAAAGATGCAAAATATCCCTCTCAGAGAAAAAACAGAAAGAGATAATTACGCACCACCTATTACAAAACATTTCAACTTTGAAAACCAGGAAAGCAGACCAATAGCTAAAGCAGCTTTAATGTTCTTAAAATTTGGCTACGGCACTAATGTCACCTCTATGGATCAAGCTGATTCTGCGTTATTGTAGATCTATGAATTCACTCGATCCAGTTATTTCATTAATGCACTGTCTTCTTATAACGTCATCTTGCATTAACTCTTAAACAGTCAAAACTTAGGACTTGTTTGATAGAATTTATTTGGGAATAATGAGTTATTGAATGGTATTTTCTTGGAAAACGTGTAATTAAAAAGTAAGGAAACTTTATTGGTTTATGTGTAGAATATTTTATTGTGTGAATGTGTGGTGGAGAATAATACTGTAAAAAA